TATATCCTAATAATATAACAAATAATTTCAATGCAGTACCGATTCCGATCCAATCTACGCTTCCTACACCTGCAGCTAAGTCTAGTAATTATTTTTTTGTCAATATTTTTATGCTTGTTCTCTTCGTTTCTTTTATTTTCCTTTTTACCGTTCAAGGGTTGAGGGTACTTCGTGTTCGACAAATTTCGTTAAGGCGTTGGTATTTTCTATCTTTAAAAATAACACGAAACAAGTAGAAACATTTACAATTGTCTGTTATCCATCGTTCATTTAATTATCCGAGGAGTTGCGTAGATTCATTTATTTGGTATGAATAATAGTATTGCATGCTCCTTTAACTTTCCCTATCGTACGATACACGATTGTATAGATTAGTCACACTGCTTCTATATTTTACGTAGATCAAGTGATTATTATCTTCTTGTCGTCTTTAATGTCTATGTAAATAAGATGAACCTCGTGTTGCGCCTGTAGAATTAATTTCGATCCGCGAGATGAGAAATTCAAGGAAATAATATGTGAAACTTTCGAATCTAGTTAACAAAGCTCCGGCCCATCGCCCACAACCGAAACCAACTGGAGTCGGAAATCGAGGCGATACTGAAAAGGTCGAAGAGCTCAGGGCACAGGTATGAGAATACAATTATATTCGCAATTTCTGCATTTTTTCCCTTATTTATCCCTGACAGTAATAAAATGTGTATTGAAAATTGATTGCAGATAGTGGAATTAAAAATGTCGCTCGAAGGCCTGGAGAAGGAAAGAGATTTCTACTTCGGGAAGCTACGCGACATCGAAGTCATGTGCCAAGATTGTGATAACGGAGGTCCTCCGCCAATAGTTCAGAAAATCTTAGAAGTCCTTTACGCGACGGAGGTACGTCGAAAACGCGTCATATTTTATATATAATATTTTTATTTCAATTCTAAATGATTTGTTTTAATTTTTGTTTTATGTTTCGTTCTTCAGGAGGGATTCGCGCCACCCGAAGAACTGGAAGGAGACGGTCTCGCGCCGGACGATGAAGAAGAATATTAACTTTACTCGTTTTGTACAATCATTATAAAAAGTATGACAGCAAATTGTCCAAGTGCGTTTTACTTTTATTCTGTTTCTTGTGAGCCAGTATCAGTACCCTTCGCATAATCGATAAGAGAGCTACCCTTGTATAGCTGTTTAAGCATACCCGCGCCCGTTCGTTTCGTTAAAAAAGCATGTTTCATCGTGAGAGTTCATCGAGAGATTCGCACGTGTAATTAGGGTAGGAAGTAATGTTGAACGATGCACTTGAATAACTTGTAATCTACGACGACTAATTATTATTAAGAACGGAAGAAATTAAGAAAGAATAAGCAGATTTAGCAGTTCTACGTATTGTAATAGTTCTTTATCGTAATTAAAAGTAACGGTAGAGCTTTGGACGTTACAAGTTTCAAAGTACGATGACAGAGAATCGAAAAAGGAAGCTGTTTTTTTTTTTTTTGTTGGACGTGCGACTGTGTCCAACTTTGTTATACAGTAATTTTACGTTAACTATGTTCAATATCGTGTGAGTGTTCTTTTTTCTTCTGTTTGTAAATGCACTGCTGTTTTTAACGATAAATAGAAATGAAATCTCTCCGATTTGTTGTTTAATACCTCGTTGTAGTTCACCGAGAATCGTAGACTTGTATTTAACGCATAATCTGTAACAGACCCGTCTCCGAGAACTGTTCATATCATTTGTAATCGTGCATTTGTGAGTCGAACAAAGCGAATACTAATTGTTTTTACCTGATGTTGTGTTATGTCGAAGCTGGTCATTGGAACGCATTAAATTGATTTTCACAATTTTTATACACCTCCTTCATTTTCTCGAGCAACAACGAACCACGTTTACTATGCGTAACGAATAAGCTAACATAAAACACGATGCGTGTCCACTTTTATTTCCCTATCGTAACTGAGTTCTGGAGATGCGAAACGTTCGGAGATTATCGACCGGCGTCGATTCGGATTTATTGGTTCAAGCACCTTCGCACCTCCACGATCCGTCTTTCAGGACACGAATGGCCTTAAAATACCAGCGATTAACGTTACAGAGGAATTATTCAATACTCATTAAATGTATCTCCGAGCAACACGAATCGATTGAGGAGCGCTACGCTTTTTCGAAATAAAATTACACGAACAAGCGAGAAAATTGATGCGTGACCAAGAGTGAGTGAGAGGCGACCGAGCGAGTGGGAAGTAGTGACAGCGCTACACACGTGTTTAAAATCTTTTAGAAATGATCCAATCATCGAGGAATAGAAATTGGAACGCGTAACTTCGAGTTTTAGATTCTATCGATTAACAGGTTCATCAGGCGTAAACGTCACGTGTCGATTATTATTATTGTTAACGTCTGTTTTATGTAAGGTGCAACGCTCGTGCATTGTTTTTAGAAGACGAGAAGAGTTAACGACGCATTTTAACTCGCGCTACGTTCACTGCTCTATATGTCTGCGTTATGGCGATCCATCGCGCGAATGTGCTTTGAAATTTCAAATTTTAATGGTGAGGCAATAAACGTCTATCAGGATTCAACGCTGACTATCTTTTCTTTCCCACCCCTTAAGTATGACGAGCCTAATTCTATGCAACGCAGGGGGATACTTAATAATATGTATTTAATAATGAAATTTTCACTTGATATTCTTATTGCAAATTAAGCCTACTCTTGATACGTTACGTTAATTCGAAGACAGTTGAATAGTTAAGTAAAAGTAAGACTCCTGAGCTAAGCTATTTCTGAGAAATTGATAATCTCCAGAGAATCAATTATGTTTATATTTATCATTGTGTTTACACCGACTCTTAATTACTCTATTACTATTAATCATATTTAATAAATAGTGAACTTATATCTTAATAAACGTGTAGCATAATCGAATATGCGTTAGGATGAATTATTAGGTGAATATTACAGGAAAATAAACAATAATTGTTTGATGTTCGTGTAGGAAACATAAATCATACATTGATTGATTGATTGATCAGGTGAGTTAAGTAAATGATTTTACTTCGATTTAACATGTCGTATTAATTATTTTACGTTGTTCACAAGGTTTTTTTATTTTCGTTTACTCGCGTTTTATGGGAGATTCAACGTCCTGTATCGGATGACACCAGGT